GCTGGCGAGCCTTCAGCTGGCGAGCCTTCATTTGTCGAGCCTTCAGATGTCGAGTCTCCAGCTGGCGAGCCTTCAGCCGTCGAGCCTTCATTTGTCGAGCCTTCAGATGTCGAGCCTTCAGCTGGCGAGCCTTCATTTGTCGAGCCTTCAGATGTCGAGTCTCCAGCTGGTGAGCCTTTAGCTGTTGAGCCTTCATTTGTCGAGCCTTCAGATGTCGAGTCTCCAGCTGGCGAGCCTTCAGCTGTCGAGCCTTCATTTGTCGAGCCTTCAGATGTCGAGTCTCCAGCCGTCCAGCCGTCGAGCCTTCAGTCGTCGAGCCTTCAGCTGTCCAGCCTTCAGCCGTCGAGCCTTCAGTCGTCGAGCCTTCAGCCGTCCAGCCTTCAGCCGTCGAGCCTTCAGTCGTCGAGCCTTCAGCTGTCCAGCCTTCAGTCGTCGAGCCTTCAGCCGTCCAGCCTTCAGCCGTCGAGCCTTCAGATGTCCAGCCTTCAGATGTCCAGCCTTCAGATAGTGAACCTTCTGCTGGGGAACCAGAGCCTCCAGTATTTATACACTTATTATTACTTATTATTTAAAAAGGTTTGCACAGTTGGTAGCAGGGGCGCTGCCAGGAATCTTGGGTCCCATGACAAAAAATAAGATTGGGCCCCCTCGCGCAGCTGTTGTTACAATTTCTTGAGTCCATTTGACCCACAAAAAAGCATCACAATTTTAAAGGCTTGCAACTGCCTTGCTTTATTTGGTCCAATACTGATACTTGCACAATACTGCTCATGAATTTTACATCCAACAGTTCACATACTGTATGCAAGTAGGTTGCTTACATTTTTTCTTTTACTGAAATGTCTCTCCCCACATGCAACAGTTATAGGCAACGTCCAAAATATACATAAAGCAATCCAGAGTTCTCAAAAAATGCTATGTAGTTGCATTTTATTCAAGTTGCAGTACATAACTTTAATAAAAATATGTTTTCTCCATATTTATTAAGGCTGCCATGATGTCGTAGCAGTTTGTTACAGATAATCTGTCAAAACAATCAATCTCCTCCATCTAGGGTTGCCACCTTTCAGAAGTTAAAATAAGGGCACGTCGCCCTACTCTTATGGGGTGGGACTTCCACTGCAGTCAGACATTATTTTATGGCTGTGTTTTTTGTTTTTAAAAAGTGATCCGTAGAGCAATCATTCATGTTAGAGTATCCCAACATTGTATTCCAATCACAGTAGCATACCTTAAAAACACATTTTATTAAGCAAGTGTAAAAAGTATTTGGTAAACTACTCAAGTACTGATCAACTGATCATAACACCTGATTTAATATTCAAAATGTGTCCTCAGACAGCCAAAAGTATAAAAGTTATGTGAACATTCTGGTACTGTAAAAAGTATTACTAAAATATTTATAGAAATAAGGAGTTAGGTTTGGAGGCTGGACCAAATTTACCACAGGGGCCAGGATAGTCAGTGTTTTTCCATGGCGACACTTGAAAAATAATGGGGGAAAAAAAAACCCAAAATAAAACAAAACAAAAAAAAAANCAGAGCAATATTTCATCATTTGATATATTAAGTGAGCCAAAGAGCCACTTTTGTCTCCAGAGATTCAGGTTGCAGATCCCTGGCAGATGGAAAGTGTGATCCTATGCAGCATCCAAAAGTGCAGCACTATAATTTTTAATTCGTTGTTAAAGTAAAATTGTGAAGGTTAAAAAAAAAAAGTGATCCACCACTGAGTATTAACATAAGATATGTATTTAGTATAACTTATTTGGTGCCCTGTTGGCCCCCCATCTAGAACCGCCCAAGGCTGCAGGTCTGGGTCCGGTGCATTAATAATATATTAAATGACCACTGAACAATGAATTCATGAAATATATCAACATTTCAAAATAAAACCTACAGAAAGCCCTAAAAGTAGGAAATATTTATGTGTTAATCTATTTGTATGTCTTGTTCTTTAAATCACCATTTGTATTATTTTGGCTGATATTATTATACATTTTATAAGCAAACGAGTAAACGCACAATAAGAAACTTACTCATAGCAAAATGTCCTGTACCATATCAGCCTCAGGAGATGATTGAGGGATGAAGAGACGCTGATGTCAAGTGTTTTAGGTTTTGACGGGTCTGCAGTTCTTCTCCTGATCCATTCATACAGCAGCACACTGCGCCACGATGGACACATTCTTTTTAATTGCCTGTCTTCATCCTCTCTAACATTATTCAGCCTAGGATTTGCGTCTTCCCTCACACGTCTATATCTTTATGAGAGGTTTTACTTCTAAGTACGGTGGAGTATCGGGTCGAGGACGTTGTAAAAAGACCCGGGTTGATAGCACCTCACCGCGGTTGCGTAGTGTCCGTCTCTCGGCAACCGTGACAACAGCGTCGGTCTGTACATAGACATGAATACGTATATGATATCTATGGGTCCGTAGCGTTCTGGGGTCCTGTCTAGCTCCCGCCACGACAATTTAGCTGACCTTAATATTTCCTGTGTTTTGTTTTGGTTATTATTGTTACACTTAGTGTGTGATAGGTGTGTCTATCGAACATTTATAGAATACGGAACAAATCGTACGGGACGCAACATTTAACAGCCAAATACGGGACAATTCCGTATTTTACGGGACGGGTGGCAACCCTACCTCTATCTCCTTCCTGAACTACTACAGCTAGCTAAAGAAAAACAACCAATCAGAACGTTCTTAGCGCTGTCAGTCAACCTCATTCACTCACTGCTAAATATGCTAATGGGGGAGAAACAACTTATCGTCACAAGAAAACCGTTTATCTCTCATCACTGGTAGCTATGCTAACCAGACTGAGCATTAATAACAGGCTGTGCTAGCTGCAGCATAGCACAGAGCAAGGAGAGGGAGGATGAGCAGCCACATGAGATGGTGATTGACAGCACTAAAACTCTCCTGCCACCAGTGGTGGGAAGTAACGAACTACAAGTACTTAGTTACTTAAGTACAATTTTCGTGTATCTGTACTTAAGTAGATTTAATAATGAATACTTTCTACTTTTACTCCACTACATTTTACAGTAAGTATCTGTACTTTCTACTTCACTACATTTCTACTAAACTGTCCGTTACTCGTTACATCCAAGTCGCGTTGCGCTTTTTTTCAGTTAAAATGTGAAGTTCAGGGTCTTAAGGTGGCGCCGTAAAATCCAAGCAATAACGTGACTTAGTGTCTGTTGTCATCCATCGCCTCCACCTTTACTCGCACGCGGAGCTCCAGACATGCGCAGTGGTTTCCTCTGAGCGGGAGAAGATGTCTGTCTGATCGTCAGTAATATAATAGCGCTGCATAAATCATAAGATATGGCGACATGTAAAATAAGCAGCGCTTCGCTTTCACAGACGGTGGGGACTTCGTCCAACTTTTAGCGTCACTTGGAAGGAAAGCTTAAAGAAAGGTAAGATCTGTGGACGTGATGCTAGCAAAGCTAGCTGTACAGAGACACATATGTTGCATCTGCGATGAAAAAAGTTGTCATTCATGCGCTGAATTAT